AAAAAAAAAAAAAAAAAAAAAAAAAAAAAAAAAAAAAAAAAAAAGAAGGAAAGGGAGCCATATATACAGAATGATCTAATAACTCTACCTACCTTAAATGTTATTTGTTAATTTCATAATTTTGTATGACGTAATGAGAAGTATGATACGATGCAAAGTATTTATCTGTGTTAGTCAATTGTATTTTTTAACCTTTTTAAATGTTTAATTGTAATAATCAATAATAATTGGTTTACTTATTAGAAGGTTCAAAGGGAATAATATGTTACAACATATTGATTGAATATATATGTTAAAAGATAAATGTAGTTTCAATTTGTTATACGCTTGTCATTTAGTATTTAGACTTTTGATAATTTTGAAGACTTAAGCTTAAAGAATTAATTGATGTGCTACAATTATTTTATCTTTATGTAATAGTTGACTTTGAGGCGAATTCAAAAAGATATAATCCAAATCATTCGGTTGAAAATAATTATAAAATAATTCTTTTTTCTTTTTTTTTTATTTTAAATGTGAACGTTTCACTTTTGAATTGGCTCGGTTAAAAAAATATAGATGATTCATTATTTTTCACACTTGTTACAAATAACAAAGATATTCAAGGTGGTTGAAGTTACTGAGCCACCCTGTATAAGAAAGTACACGTACAATAAAATTACAAAAATATTTCCCACGATAACTAGAAACGTTCGACATCCCTTCGTCCAATTACCTGCAATCGGGAATCGTTCTTCTCCTTCCGATGCTGCGTCCAACATGAGGCAATAGTTTTACATTCAATCAATAACACCGAACGAAGCAGTTTTCGTATCCAACGGATACATGCCTTTCATCTTTCTTTTATCTTTAACAAACCAGAGACGATCTGGACGATCAAAAACGGGAGTCGTTTTTCTTACTTCTTACATACGTTATAAAATCCGACCGACTCTCTGGCTTGCCATCCGGCTAAGAAAGAAGAAGAATACGCGGAGGGAGTAAATCGACCGGCAAATGAAGAGGGAAGCTCGAAAAATCGAATCGAATGAGAAGCAGGGAATATAGAGAGGAAGCTTACGTTTCAACTGAACAAATGTAAGTTGATCGATAGCACGACGCAACGGTTTGTCATCCAGTGTAAGATCGAGCAACGGTAGCCGAGCAATTTCTTGAACACCCTCTGCGCCGCCCCACGAGCCAGCAGCAGTAGCAGCTCTAACCGAGAGCATGCCGCCGATTTGGAGGAAGGCTGCACTATCGTTCTCCTTCAGAGCTTCGATACAGAAAGTGAGAAGCGCCGTGGTCGCCTGCAGATGAGACGCGCATCTGGCTACTTGGTCCCGCAAAGAACGCACCCTCGCCTCGCGGGTTTGCCGGGCTGCTTCGATTAACCGAGATTTCCTCGCCTGCAAAAGACTCACCAAATTCGCCACCCTATCCTCTACCTCTTCCTCTAATGCAACGCACTCCTCCTGTTAACATACAACAAGGTCGTCAGACTTGCATATCGACAGAATTACACGACTCGTCGGATATTATTATGATTGCTGCAACTTTGTAACAATTAACGAGTAACAAGCAAATTTACAGTGTAATTAATAATGATAAATTAAATTTAAAACAATATTAAAATTTAATTAAATTGAAATTAAAACATCAGTCATTGAATATTAAATATTAGAACCTCAAAAGAAATCATTGCGTGAAATTAATCATGTTGCATAATTCGATCGATGATTAAAATTGTATAAATATTTAATCTCGATGTGATGTCGTAAAATATTATTGTGCCAATAATATCGAAAATTCATGGATAAATTAATTGTAATAATGACGATATTAAAAATATTAATAGAAGGTTATGATGAACATATTTTGTTTAAATTCCTCTCTTAATAATAATTATATATTAAATAAATCTCGAAGGTTGTGAAAATTCAAACGTCTCCGAAAATACAAAAATTTTCTCGTCGGTACTTTTCTTCAACGAACTACCTCATACAAACTTACTGTTATTTATTATTGAATCTTCGAACGTTGGAGTTAGACGACGAAATGTTAAGATTCCTTGAATTTTTCAACGTCCAAGGTTCGATAAAACCTTTCTCTTTGGGAGGGAAAAAGGAAATCAAACAGGAAATTTTGAAGGGAAATTCCAATCTTCAAGGACTAACGATGAGATAAAATTTCTTTAGTTTTTGAGGCCTCGTCTCGTTGGACAGATTGCAATAATGTCGAACACCTGGTAGATCCGGCTCGTTTATAACCATGATCAAACGATGATTGTTATTTTCGTTATCGTAGAAGGGAAATTGGACGATGAAATGAAATATTCGAACTGGCGTTGATAACGTCGAGATATTAGCGTCGCTAAAACGATGCGACCCGGTGGTTAACAGCCAGCGTGGGAGGAAACGAACGAGGGAAAGGAGTCGAAATGGTCGACGGAAGAACGTGGAATGGAGAACGGAAGAGAAGTAGGAGAAGGGGGGTTATGGCAGGGGTAGAAAGAGGAGCAGCTGATGTTCTCAATTATCGCGCGCGCCACAGTCCTTCCATAATTTCCATAACCAGGAGGCCAACCCCGAAGCGATGAAATTTAAAAGGAACGTTCAAGATAAATACTCACGTGCACTTTGTCCGTCATTCCTTTGAGCCTCTGAATGAATTCTGTCGTCGAACGAGCTCTTTCCGACAGCTGTTGCAGATTTTGCGAGAGCTCCGTCTGTAACCGCATCGAAACGATCATCGTTCAAATAACATATTTCCATTTCCAGTTCAATGCTTTTTTTTTTTTTTTTTTAAATATGTGAAATATATATTTCGAATGAAAATCGTGTCTGATCTGATTGACAGGCAATCATATACATTTTACTATCAACTAGTAGGACTCCACTTTAAACTTCTGAAGTGTCGAATAATTTACGTTTCACTGATTTCTTTTACTAAAGAATTTTCACTAACTAAGAGGAGTCTGCATACAGATAAATCGATCCAACCAACAAGAATTCATTTAATTGAACATTGACTGAAATTTCGTTCAAATGTCCATTTTGACATACTGCAGTCGTAGGTCGAAATGAAGAATGCTTACCGAGATGTTGATGAAAACAACAGATAATGTTAAATAAAAAGATAAGCAATCGAAGGTGGATGAAGATTAATTTCGTAGAAAGTGATTTAATTCTTTGAATGTTTAGTATCGTATTGAAGTACCTTCTCTCCCTCTAGTAATTTTTCGTTCATGTTACAAGAGTTTAGATTCAATCACTTAATCAAAATTTGCTGAAAATCAAAATGAAGTTATTTACTATAGTTATCTAATGTAAGTTTACACAGATACACGTAGAACTTGCCAATCTTTTATGTCCAATCACCTATTGCAAGAAGTACAAGAGTAACAATAAGAAATATTCTTCCACCATGAAAGTTGAAAATGTAACAAGAATATTAATCTTATGGAACATACATATGGGTAATAACGTATCAGTTCGTCTATCTATCTATTTATTACAATTACTGGCCTTTCGAACTAGACGAGCATCGATAGTTCGTGTTGAAGAGTAATTGAATTACTCTTCCTCGAGACACTCCTCCAGCCTAACTACCACCGCAACTTCGTTCTAGCTAATTTCCGCAATTTTACTCGCCAACTTTCCAAAGGAAATCCTATAGGCACTGCTGCATCGCCGTCGTGAAATGTTTTTGCAAATTAACGGCCAAACTTGTCGACCCTTCATTATCATTCGTACGCGGAGTTCCATGCGTTTCACGGGAAATTTTGTGAATGCAAAAGTTCATTTAATGTACTCAAAATATACTTACTGATAAAAAGTAAATAATGAAACATTCAAAATACAGTAAGTAAGTAAGTAAAATATTTAATTGTCAAACATTATTATATGACAACCATTCTCTATCTAGCTTCCAGTTTATTTCTTTTAATTTTATCTAGAAAAATATGAGTTTGCACAAATATCATGGATAAGATGAACTATAGTTCGACCATGAATTCCTCAATTCCTAATACGAGTTATGGATAAATCCACTTCGTTCATATCGTCTCTGACATCATTAATTGTCATTAATTTAATTCGTCTCTTAATTATGAGACGGGCGTAAAGGACAAGTGAAGGAAACCGCTGTTTCGTGAAATCTGTTGAAATTTATTTTGCAAAAATATCGCCGTATCTCGGGGTATATCGTCCCTTATCTGTTGCAAAATCCACAAAGTCGTAAAAAAGATTGCTCGTCGCTTACTTTAATCTAGACGGCGTCACAACGTGTTAAATTAAAAGCCGGGTCGTCGACCGTTCGTCCTATTCTTTTCCCCCATAAATCACGATGCACTGCATTCTCATCAAAATCAGTGGTATAACGTTCCCCCTTCCTTCTCCCTTTTA